TTACGGGTGGCGAGGGATAAGATATCCTCGGCTTTTCAGATTGAAATCATCGACCGTATCGTCGCGTCTTCATGGTAGAAACAAAGTCATTCGCGTTAACGTATACCTAACACCGGTGCTTAATGGTCAAACAGGAGAATAAAAAGACAAAGTGGAATAGGTGTATGTACCAGGGAGAACGAAGAGGGGAGATGAAGCCACTGGATGATGTGGAGTGTGGTGGAGGTAAAGACGCGGCCACGTCGGTCTCGTTCATTCAGGACACGCTCAGGAGGCGCGTGCTCGCGCCTGTATACTATACGCACGAGAAATCCATGAATGAAAACAATTCGTGACCGGCGTCCCGTTAATGAATGGATTCCGGAGTAGTAGCTCAGTTTCGAATCGTCGGGAGGAGGTTTGCTAATTGGTATAGCCGAGGCGAACGTCTCATTCGCGATAACTCAATGTCGTTCGCGGGTGTCTCCGGGGTTTGGGGAGGTTCACGGGTTCAGGATGCAGTTAGGAATTGAGGGGTTGGGGGCTATTTTTGGCGGCTGGGGGTCGGGGCTCTCGGTGGGTCGATTTTTTCAGCGGTTTTGGTCCTGGGGTACCTGTGAAATTTTAATGATCTGCTTCCCTCGGCTGACGTCGGCCTTTTACCTACCTGGGATCCATATATTTCGGGGTAATGGGGGACAAGTAGCTAAGTAGTATATTCCGGCTTCCTTTTTTCGGGTTGAAGGGTAACGGGGATTTTTTTTTACCATTTTTTTCTTTGGAGTGGGTGATTTGTAATCGTGATGTTTTTCTGATTTCCTGAATTTGGGTGGAAGCGCCTAGAAATGTGATGAATTATGGACTCATGATGCACGAAAGATTTCTTAATGCACTATTGGAAAATTACTCTTGAAATTTCAAGTGAAAAAGCTTGAAAGTTTCGACAACGACAAAGTTACAAAGAATCAGTTAATTTCTTGAATATTAAAGTAATCCTCGCTTTTCAGGTCCATATGGCACTGAAAAACCTTGAAAATTTTAAAAATTCAGGTAACAACTCTTCTGAATTCTCAATCTATTGAAAATTGAATTGTATGTGATGTTTAATTTGCACAATGAGTTTGGCGATTCAAGCTTTCATCGAAGAATCAATGATTGTTTGACATGAAAAATCCAATTTTCTTGAATTTTCAAGATAAACGAGAAATTTAGTGAACGCTTTCATTTGAAATTGAATTCAACCTCACAACATCGAAAATTCAGGTGACGCTGAGACTGAAATTTCAAGAAATTTCTAACAGTGTGTGTACACCATATTTACTTGAGAATAGTAAATTATTTTCAATGGCTCAATTTTAGAATGTTTGCGCTTCACTGAACTTGAATAAATTTTCATTTATCATTATTGCTCCGCGTTAATCATGAATTATTACGTATCGAAACGTTGGAAGTGCATAAAAAAATTATGAAAACAATAAATACTTGAAGTAAGTTCATTTGCAATGAAATCATACTTGAGTACAAGAATATTTTAAAGTATGAGATCGCTCTCGGGCCACGATGAGTTGAGATGTTTGCGCGGGGAGAAAAGTTGAATAAAAATTACCTCGATAATCGTGACAAATTTGACTATATGAATGGTAATTGTGGAGCGAACTGTAATTCAGCGAAAAAATACTGGTATTTAGTGGATATCTGACGATTTGTCAGTAAAAAAATACATCTATGGACGGACGGAAGTGAGTTTTTACCCCACGGGTTCGGTAAGAATCATTCGTCGTTGCAGAAAAATTATACGAAAAATTGGAGCAATTATTTACGTTCACTGGGATAATTTTTGATGGAATGTAGCGTAAATTTAACAGTTTCAGTACAAATCACCCTCACGTTTACACGGAGAGAAATATTCAATAAAAATTACGTATCTTTTCCGTAATTCCGGAGCGAAATGTGTTTGTAGGAAATTTTACGGAATTGTCACGGAATTTTGACGTAATTCTTATCTGAATCTCCTGTGAGAAATTACGACACCGTCACTTGAATTTTCCGAGTCGATTTCGTAATCGGTGAATGAATTGTGAGTTCCGTAATTTTTACTGAACATTCCTCTCCGTGTAGTAAATTTTTCCGGGCCAACGGAGTAAAATTCACTATTAATTTCGCCCTTGTTTCCCTATTTAAGGTGAAAAATTGCTGGAAGTAGAGTTTGCTCCACGGTTACTTGACTTGTTTGGTAATTTTTTCTCCAACTTTTCTCACCGTATGGGAGAATTAAGCAATTGAAATAAAAGACTTGTCGCAAGCCAATAAGTTTCAGATATCAGAATTTTTTTTCCACTGAGTTAAAAAAAATATCTGCATGCATGTATGAGTATCCGTATGTCCAGAACTGTGTCAATAACTCGAGAATAGTTATCGCAAAGATACTGGAAGCCTGGCTTCTGATTGGTACTACTGTGACTCAAATTTGAAATAATTAGAAAAGACGGAAGTCACGAACTACGAAAGTATATAGAGCCGTCCACATCTTGTGACGTCACAGTATATTGTTGGGTAAGATTTGGGAGTAGGTGCGAGGGGAATCAGGATGATTCTCAATGTTAGTTTAGACGCAACATCTACTGAAAAAATATATAGTCCAGACTGAGACTCAAATTTGTGCTAAATGCCTATTTTTATGGTTTTATAATTGCAACATCTAATTTATGCATTGTGGAATACCTGGAATCAGTATGTTTTGGGTTAATGAAAAGACAAGTACACAGAGAAAAAAAATTATTTTTGCCATATACTCATTTACTTGAGATAAGCATTTATTTGTTCAATACCGTATTTCTCCAATCGACTCATTTCCAGAAAATCCTCATTAGGTTTCAATTATGACAATTATATTACTCTAGAAGATCATCATGTTAGTTATGACATGGAGTGAACTCCGTCAATAATTATAAATACTAAGAAATTAGTCGAAATTCTTCCCTGTGGAAAGTAAGAATTTTAGGAAAAATGAATAATCATTGGAGGAATTCATCCAAGGTCATGTACAGCATAGTCATCCTCTGGAGCAATATGATTGTCATAATTGATACCTAAGCAGGCTCGCCTAAGAATGACTCAATTGGAGAAATACGATTTTGAAGAAATAGATACTTCTCTGAAGTAAATGAATATTTGGCAAAAATAATTTTTTTTCTCAGTGTAGCTAAGTAGTAACTTTCCACTTCCACTACTATTTTTTTACGAATTTTTTCATTTGTTGCCTGAGAAAATTTGACTTTTGTTGCATTTTTCAATTTTTTTTCCTTATCTTCTCGTATTTTTGGGTTGAATGCGGGTTTTTATCGTTTTTATATCTGCAATATGAAATAAATAATGCATTATGCATATGCCTAGCATCAATATGTTTTGAGGTAATAAGAGGACAAGTAGCTGAATAGTAAATGCGGGCTTCCTTTCTTCATATTGAATGGCAACTGCTGTTTTTTTACTACTTTTTTATTTTCCTTTCAAAAAAAATTTTACTTTCTTGCTTGTTGCCTGTTTTTTACCCGTATCGTTGGGTTGAATGAGAATTTTTATGATTTTTAAATTTGCAATATGTGATTCATCTCCGTTCTACGTTGAAATGGTTAATGCATTGTGGAATAATCGCTTCCGACGCGCAAACCCGTCTAAATCACTCAATTTGCGTTTTATTACTGTACGATGTTAATGCAATAAAAATGAAGAGCCAAACGTGGATGATGAGTCACGGCTGTTGCATAGTATTAAATTATATAAGCCTATAATTTCATCATTTATTCCTCGTTTATCTTCCCCGATGGAATAGATAACGATTTTTACGACCTAAAGCGGTCACGAATTTTTAAAAAAGGAATTAAGGCATTGTGCGATCGGCTTTTGGAATTATGTGGGGGCTGGTAATTTGCGACTTAACGAATCATGTGTGCATCATCTGTAGCTCGTGTTGTCTGATGTACTTGAGCGAGAGTCGTTTCATGTTCAATAAACATTTAATGAGAATTCGATGTAAAACAGACGAAATGAATAAACCGGAGAATTTTTATGCAAACAAATATGTAAATATATTTCTTTCAGTACTCACATATGCTCGTTGCCATTTTGCATATTCCAGGAGCCCGATGCTTCAGTCACCGTCGGCACAGTGCCCCGAAAATCCGTTCCTCCACTTTTCATAAAAATCCACGAATAAAACCCTCTTAATTCTCCCCATCACCACTCGCCTCCCGAATCACGAGATTTCATCAAAAAAATTACAATTTCCCGGAACCACTCAAGCCATCCCGAGTCCCCCTAATCTCTCCCGTTGATCTCTGACTCGCCTTAAAGACCAGTTCACCACGTGTTTACCCACTGATTGTCCATCGTAACCCCGCAACATGAGGACCGAGCAACTTCACCTGTCCGACGATTCACCGAAAATGGTTAAAAACACCATCAATAGAAACCGAAAAATGTCAGATAGCGTGGACTGAGATATTCAGCGGTTTATTTACAAAAAAAAGACACATTGTCCGGCTCGTAGAGCTTTGGACACCGTGTACCCGGGTTTATAGCTAGCGGGAACTCGCCGGCGGCGGCAGAGACGTCAGAACGAGAGAAGAAGAAGAGGGGTGGCAGTTGTCGAGCGCGCCCGACGGACTCGACGATGGGGAGGGGTTTTGCAACGGGGGTTGCCAGAGAGAGAAGACACTATGGCGAGATCTCTACGGCGTCCCGACGCTCTGCGTCTGCGCGCCATCCCTTCGTTTACCCCTGAATCCTCATTTTTCCCAGCATTTTCACAAATAATTCCAGCTGGAGCCTAAAATTCTGAATTTACTTTTATGCTAAACACAAACAAAGCAAATATTCTATTCATTTGAATCCTTGCATTCATTCTGGATGACAGAATTGTGGTCCCGCTTTCTGAATCAATAGTCGTCAGTCCCCTGAATGCGATTTTTTTCACTGAAAATTCTGGAACAGTCCGGAATCAATTTATTTGCATTTCTAATTTAATATGAATAGTCAGTTCCAAATTACACAGAATTTTCAGTGAAATCACGAAATTTCATAATTTGTTTCTCCTTAAATCGCATTCAGTCTCACTGTCCGAAAAATTCCAGTAAATATATTCTATTTTTTCTATTTATTTTCAGGGAAAATTGGAACTGAATTTTTCCATTTTCTTTGATTTTTCCACGAAATTATTATTTTTTATTTATTTACTTTCAAAGTCAAACAGACGAAGCCAATAATATGACTAATTACAAAAATGATAACCTATTCAAGATTATCTTCACATCAGCGGTTAGTATAATTAGGTATTTCTATACATTATAAGTAAAATAAGAAATGTATTGAATCGCTGAACGTAAATTACCGATGAAATTCTGAATTTTCAATTACGAAATTCTCTGAAATTCCAGTGGTAATTAAACTTGAGAAAAATTTCCAAAAAGTGTACTGGAAATTTCAGACAGAAATTTTGAACAGTGTAGGGGATCGGAAATTGCATGGAAAAAAAATACTGTAGGTGTCAGATATCCCTCGAGAGGGAACAACTCTTGAGAGGGGTAGAACTGGAAGTTTTCCGAGGGTCTCAGCCCGAGCGAGACAGATTCCAAAGGCAGAGCCAGAGTGGAAGAAAGCTAGGCGCGGCTTGTTGGCAGCCGCTCGATAGGAGTTGCGTGCACTGACCAATGGAGCGAGCGCTCGACGATAAAGCTCGGGCGCTATTGGACGAGGCGAGGCGTTTGCCTCAGTCTGGGAAAGAGGACGGAGATAATGATGGGAGTGAGATGGAGATGTTTGTGCTACTGGCGAGAGGCTCCCAGCATCTGGGCTCGATAGGTGCCAGCAGGGGGAGACATCTGACGGTGGTAAAAACACTAGTTATTTTAATTTAAATTGAATCGTAAAAGTTGCATTACTGAAATTTTTGCAACGAAGAAATATAATTCAATTATGGTTATGGTTTTTCGATGAAGGGATGATGTTTGTGAGTCGGGTGAGGTTTGAGTTTCTTTTTTTGTCGGGAATTGGGGTACATTTAACGAACAAACATATCGTCCGACATTGGATAAGCTATCTCGACCGGGACGAGTGTAAATAAGTGCAAAGATATAACGGTTAATTTCCGCATTAACCGAGTTTATCGCAAGCGTCTATCCGAGTGAACCGCAGGATGCATGGTCTGGTATAGGTACAATGTACGTAATCTGTGAGCAGTGTGAAATGAGAAATAAAAAAATTCGCCGGGTGGAAGCTATGGTGAATGGTGCGCGTGCGCGTCATCCGTTACCTGAAATGAAAACAATGAAATAAAGCCCTTGATGACGTTGTGCGGAATTTTTCGCATAAATTTTTCGGGATTAAACCCGGAAATGGTTATCAAGTAATATTTTTAGCGAATTTTAATTGGTGGACAATCGAACATTCGATTCATTCTTTTAGAATTCAAGACGAAGTTGGAGATTTCATTTGAATTATTACTTGCAAATTCATCGGATCGAGTGTAACAAGTCTTGCAGAAAAATCCTTGACATCTTTTTTTTATTTCTTTACGACGAAGATTTCGACAAATATCCCATAATTTTCAAAGTCTCAAGGTAGTACAGCTGGAAATTCAATGAAATTCCAAATTTTTTAACAGCAAGAAGATGAGAATTCTTTATTTTATTGGAATTTCCAACCAAAATATGAAAACAATGAAATAAAGCCCTTGATGACGTTGCGCCGAATTTTTCGTGTGAATTTTTCGTGGCTCAACCCGGAAATGGTTATCAAGTGATATTTCTAGCAAATTTTAATTGATGGACAATTGAGAATTCCATTCATTCTTCGATAATTCTAGCAAAATACAACAAAGCTGTGACGAAGCTGTAGGTTTTACTTGAATTATTACCTGCAAATTCATCGGATATTTCTATCAAGCTGCTCTGCAAAGAAACGAGTGTAACAAGGTTTGCAGAAAAATCCTTGACACTTTTTTTTTATTTTTTTACAACAAAGATGTCGGCAAATATCTCATAATTTTCAAAGTCTCAGGGTAGTACAGCTGGAAATTCAATGAAATTCCAAATTTTTTAACAGCAGGAAGATGAGAATCCCTTATTTTATTGGAATTTCCAACCAAAATATGAAAACAATGAAATAAAGCTCTTGATGAGGTTGCACTGAATTTTTCGTGTGAATTTTCTGGGGTTAAACCCGGAAATGGTTATCAAGTGATATTTCTAGCGAATTTTAATTGGTGGATAATCGAGCATTTCATTCATTCTTTTATAATTCCATTAGAATTCAAGACGAAGTTGTAGATTTTACTTGAATTATTACCTGATGCACATTCATCGGATATTTTCATCAAGCTGTCCTGCAAAGAAACGACTGTAACAAGTTTGGCAGAAAAATCATTGACATCTTCATTTGTTTACAACGAAGCTTTTGTCAAATACCCGATAGTTTTAAAGGTCTCAGGGTACACTGTTAGAAATTTTTTAAAAATTAAGCAATAGTTGCGCTTGGACTCTCAATGTTGTGAATTTGGATTAATAATTGGGGTTTCCATGTTGGATTATCACTGATATTTCAATGACATCTAGAATTTTCAAATTCATTGTGGAAATTGAATATCACATCCAACTGAATTTTCAGTGGATTGACAATTCAGGGAAATTGTTGCCTGAATTTTCATTATTATGTGCAGGTATGGGAAGGTATTTAATCATTTTCATTATTATGTGAACCTGAAAATTCGTGTGAATGAGTGATTGTTAAAAATTTTATGCTTTTTTACTTGAAATTTCAAGAGCATATCTCTAACAGTGGCAGCACAACTGAAAATTCAGTGGAATTCCAAATTTTTCAACAGCAGGAAGACGAAGATTTCCCATTTTATGTGAATTTCCAACCAAAATATGTATATCCAGTATCAATTCAATCAATTCAAAATTCAAAAATATATTTACCAGAATCTTTCTGATTCCTACCAATTTCCATGGCATAATTGCACTGAAATTTACTGTCCCCATCGATTTTTCCATAGAATTCCAAATCATCAATAACGAAAATTCTTGAAATTTCAGTGGAAATTCGACGGAATAAAAATTTCGAAAAATTGTACCACAAATTCAGTCAAAAATACACCACTGCAGTGCAGTGTTATTTCAAAATAAAACAAATCGCTTCGGCATTAATAAACGAAGACAAAAATAAAGTAAAAATTATCCCAACGTAAACGATGAACGTGTGCACTAACAATAAAGCGAAGAAAAAACACTCCGTGCGAAATACAAAAACAAACCTCCGCAAATTATTCTGATCCACTTGATTCATATTTTTATCGCTCCAATTATTACGAATTTTTTTTTGCCGTGACTCCTCTAAAATCGTAAACTCATGTACACTATTCCCACAAGATTACCTCGCAGTACATCGGTACAAGGGAAAACGCATGTGCAAGTCGGCATGATGTTGAAGAGGGGTTATATACTCCGGGTTTCATCGTTTATATCGTTGCACATAGGAAGACAGAGTGGTAGAGAGGAGAAGAAAATATATACGGAGACGCCTCGCGCCGCAGTGTCGGCGAACGAGGTTGACGTGGATAAATGGTACGTTTCACCGCGGGAGACGCGCGCGCGCACAGCCACAGAGGCCGAGAAAGATCTTCCGGGGGGACCCCTCTCGAGCCGATCGTGTAGTCGACTCTTTGTTGAATTGCATATAAGCGTATGGTGTACGCAACTGCATCCAAAATGAGAGTAAAAATACGAAAACGGTTTGAGAACTTTTTACGACGTGGTTACTGCTCCAAATTCTCAATACGCTGAGGTGCCCAGATGAAAGCCATTGCGGAACGCGAATTGTTTGCATTGACATTGGGCGGCTGCATGATTTTTCTCCATTAATAAAAGATGACGTAGTAGAATACTGCACGGAGAGAAAAATTCAATAAAAGTTACAAGAAAAAAAAGGTAAAAATTACGTTTCGAAACGTAATCCGCGAGCGAAGTAAAATTCAATAAAAAGTGTGAGTCGCAACTGAAATTGTACGAATCGCCACGTAAATTCTACTGTTTGTTCCGTAAAAATTAACCACCCGTCTGAGGACTCACCGCTGTGGGGACGACAAGTCGTTCCGTAATTTTTCCCCAACGATTGAGAAATTTTACGGAATGGAACGTAGAAATAACTCAGCAGCTTCATAAAAATTGTTGAACGTTCAAGAATTTTTGATTTTAGAGGTATAATAAGTCGGGAAGTTTCCGTAAGATTTTACTTCTTCGGGAAAAATTACGTGACAATTTCGTACTTTGTTCGGTGATGAACCTGAAAATTCAATGAACGTGATTTCTTCTCTTCCATTCCTATAAAAATTGCCGGAAAACGATTCCCTATTGCGGATTACGTGAATTGTTCCGTAATTTTGACTGAATATTTCGCCCCGTGTGGTAACTATTTTTCGAGGGGCTTCTCACTTCATAATTGAGTGACACCGTGATTCCGAAATGAAATCGATTTCGGGTGATTTCAGTGATTTCGAATGATTTCATTAATTCGAAAGTAGTGATTTTAGAAAAAATAAAGTCACTGAAA